ATGGTAAAGTGGTCACAGTAATATGCTTACAGGGTAAATTAGTCACAGTAATATGCTTACATGGTAAAGTGGTCACAGTAATATGCTTACAGGGTAAATTAGTCACAGTAATATGCTTACATGGTAAAGTGGTCACAGTAATATGCTTACAGGGTAAATTAGTCACAGTAATATGCTTACAGGGTAAATTAGTCACAGTAATATACTTACAGGGTAAATTAGTCACAGTAATATGCTTACAGGGTAAATTAGTCACAGTAATATGCTTACAGGGTAAATTAGTCACAGTAATATGCTTACAGGATAAATTAGTCACAGTAATATGCTTCCAGGGTAAATTAGTCACAGTAATATGCTTACAGGATAAATTAGTCATAGTAATATGCTTACAGGGTAAATTAGTCACAGTAATATACTTACAGGATAAATTAGTCACAGTAATATGCTTCCAGGGTAAATTAGTCATAGTAATATGCTTACAGGGTAAATTAGTCACAGTAATATACTTACAGGATAAATTAGTCACAGTAATATGCTTATAGGATAAAGTAGTCACAGTAATATGCTTCCAGGGTAAATTAGTCATAGTAATATGCTTACAGGGTAAATTAGTCACAGTAATATACTTACAGGATAAATTAGTCACTGTAATATGCTTACAAGGTAAATTAGTCACAGTAATATGCTTACAGGGTAAATTAGTCACAGTAATATACTTACAGGGTAAATTAGTCACAGTAATATGCTTCCAGGGTAAATTAGTCACAGTAATATGCTTCCAGGGTAAATTAGTCACAGTAATATGCTTACAGGTGTAAATTAGTCACAGTAATATGCTTACAGGATAAATTAGTCATAGTAATATGCTTACAGGGTAAGTTAGTCACAGTAATATGCTTACAGGATAAATTAGTCACAGTAATATGCTTACAGGATAAATTAGTCACAGTAATATGCTTACAGGGTAAATTAGTCACAGTAATATGCTTACAGGGTAAATTAGTCACAGTAATATGCTTACAGGGTATATTAGACACAGTAATATGCTTACAAGGTAAATTAGTCACACTAATATGCTTCCAGGATAAATTAGTGACAGTAATATGCTTACAGGGTAAATTGGTCACAGTAATATACTTACAGGATAAATTAGTGACAGCAATTTGCTTACAGGGTAAATTAGTCACAGTAATATGCTTACAGGATAAATTAGTCACAGTAATATGCTTACAGGGTAAATTAGTCACAGTAATATGCTTACAGGATAAATTAGTCATAGTAATATGCTTACAGGGTAAATTAGTCACAGTAATATGCTTACAGGGTAAATTAGTCACAGTAATATGCTTAAAGGCTACATTAGTCACAGTAATATGCTTACAGGGTAAATTAGTCACAGTAATATGCTTAAAGGCTACATTAGTCACAGTAATTAGGGTCCTTGACAAATTAGTCACAATTAAATTGACAGATTCACTTTCCTTTTGACCAATCCCACCTTAGTCTGAGAAACAGGATTTTTAAATCAAGATAATCAAATCAGTAATAGTGTTCAAAGCTCACTGTCGAAATTTCGGGTTTCAAATCCATGTGTGTCTAAATTCTCGATTGAAAGTTTAAATGAGGACACATATTATGGCAGCCATTGTTTGTCGAAACCAAGACTGATAGTTCAACATTATAGGCTACACTTAATGTTTGTCAAAAAGGCCACAAAAAAAAAG